GGTAGTATCGTCTACACCTTGCTCGATGAACGCGTCCTTTTAGAGTAGATCTAAAACAAAAAAGTTGCAACACGAACGCAACCTAACGCTTCTCGAATGTCATTCGTTTTACCGCGTTTGATGAACAATCATCCATTTGCATTTGCGCACTAAATCTCGAAAGTTTTTGTGCAATTTATTCTGGTTACGTTGGTTTAATGCCTAAAAGACGAAGGGAGTCAAAAGAAGAACGTTTAGAAAGGAAGTTGAACAAATATAAGAAAAAATATGAACGTTGTAAAAGACGTAAAGACGAACATTCAAAAGATAATAGAAACGAAAATGATGTTGGCGATATTGGTAATTCTCTTTTTATCATGACTCAATTTATTATAATTAATCAATTGCATTATGCGGAACTTTATGCATATATAATATTTCATTAAAATAAAACAAAAAGTTTTAAAAGATCATTAAAATTAGCATGTAGACCGCCAATGTTTTCTAAAAAGTTTAAAATGAGGTTTACTTATCCTCAATTTTACCATCCAAAATTTTATGTGTATAAATAAACTTTTTGAGACTATCCCGTGGGGCATAGTCACGACTTTCCCGTGGGGATTAGTCGACCAGTCATAATATGCCTGGATACATATGTCACAAACTCGTAAAAGCGAGTGTCACTTTTGACTTACCCCGTGGGGATAATAGTCACGCCATACCATTTAATATGGAGGCCTCTTAAAGTGAGTGTCACTATTAAACCATTATATTGGTACTATAGCAATCGAATATCATTAATTTATGGGCATTACATCTGTAAACAAAGGGGGGGAGAGAAATGAAGGCATAAATAAGAAAATTAGTATAATACAATACTACTATAATTATAAAATTTCAGTGGAAAGTATTGAATGAGAAGAGGATATTATAGAAGCCATGGGTCCTCCGATTAGTACTGAATCTACATATGGTCAACCAATACATCCGGAGATTTATAAAAGGGTCGAAGGTATTTTGATGGAAGGCTTGACTAAAGAAAAAATTGAAACATGTAAAAAAGAACAACTAATACCGGAAAATACCATTTTGTTAGAGGCACCACTACTGAATCCTGAATTACACATGATACAGGAGTCAGTAAAAACAAGAGATAAAAAAAATTGAGAACCGCCAAAATTTATTAGGATTAGCCACAGGCACAATATTAAAATGTGTTGATAATTTAACCAAACAAAATTTTAATAAATTAGATATCATAAAAAACATGACAGAGGCGGCCATAATTCTAGCCCATCTCCATTCAGAAGATACGGTAATAAGAAAAAAATTGTTAATACCTCACTTAGATAAAACCATATCTAAGACTCTTGCGGATCTCAAACGGGATAAATTAATAATAATAATAATAATAATAATTTTTTATTGCTGCATAACAATGAGTTTACATAAAAATATATATTAACATATTGTCTAAATATTACGTCTTAAATTATATTAGAACCTCTGACTTCTAAACTAGGCAGGGCCTGTATCATAGAAATCAGCGCTCTTCACAAAATCAGTGTCGGCAGGACAAGTATGAGTTAGCAAAAAGTAAAAAGAAAGTAATAAATGAAAAAATAATAAACTTGTTAACATAAAAACGAAACAATATAAAAGGAAAATAAAATAAAAATTAAAACCAAACGAAATGTGTGTGTGTGTGTGTGTGTGTGTTTGCGTGTGCGTGTGTGTGTATAGATGTGTATTGATGTGCGTATGTGTGTGAGCGCGTGAGTATGTTAGCAACAGTCAAACTAGGAGGTTTTCAGTTTCTTCATACGTGAGACATTGTAGCCAATTTGTTAGTTTATTTTTGCATTCAAACTTATTAAGCGGATAAATGTTGATTTTCTTATTTACTTTATTACATAATATTGAGCTTATGATAAAATAGTGTTTTTTGGCATGTGACGTTCTATGAATCTTAGTCTTACACACACGGTCAGATCTGCGTTTGTGTAAAACCTTAGGATCAAAGGGCGTTTCCATGTGTTTTCTTAAAATAACTCGTAAGATATAAAGTTGCCTGACAGATAACATTTTACAATCGGCGTATAACTTCGATGTGTCGTATAAAATCGGTTTAAAATTTATAATTTTTAAAACTGCTCTCTGAGCTCTTTCCAAAGATATTAAAACTGTTTTATTAGCAGCACCCCAAACCGGGATACAATAAACAAGAAGCGACTGACAAAGGGCAATGTATACCATATTTATTATGTGTTTATCAGCCACTTGCCTTAAAGTTTTAAAAATGTATATGAGTTTTCTGATACGACCAGTAAGTTGTGCAACATGAGTACTCCAATTTAGGTTACTGTCAATGTGGACACCCAAATATTTAATGTTATCTACTCTCTCTATTGATTTACACGAGCATGCATGTGACCGATTTTTGGAACTGCATGTGTGTATTTTAATTTCATAGGCGTTTAACGCAGGTTGTGTATTTTTTTTAATGAATAAGTTATAAATTTAGTTTTATTAATATTTAGTGTGAGGAGATTAGAAGACAGATACTGTGTTACTAGCTTCAAGGCATGCTCAGCGGTTTTTCCAACATCTTCCCAGGAATTGCCGTGGATTATTAAAGTAGTGTCATCTGCATAGGCTAATATTTTGCAGTTTGGTAAAGACATCTTACACAGGTCATTGATGTAAATTAAAAACAAGGTAGGACCTAATATACTACCCTGTGGTACACCGTAGTGCAAATAATCGTATCCACTACAAACATTATCTATTTTTACACATTGGCTCCGATTACTGAGGTAATCTTTAAATATTTCCAGAGCTATGCCTCTTACTCCTATTCTTACCATTTTGTCGAGTAAGACTGGAACTGAGACTGTGTCAAAAGCCTTTGAAAGATCTAGAAAGACCGCTAGGCATTTGGATTTTTTGTCCAAGTTCTTAACAACCGTTTCAGTAAAAGTTATTACAGCATCTTCTGTTGATTTTCCAGAACGAAAGCCAAATTGATTATCAGCTATTAAGGTATATTTATCGAGAAATTTCACAAGACGTGAATTAAGCACCTTTTCTAATATTTTAGAAAAAACTGGAAGCACAGATATTGGCCTGTAGTTATTTACAATATCCCGTTTACCTCCCTTATATACTGGATGAACTAGTGCCCTCTTAAGAAGGTCAGGGAATTTGCCCGTTTGAATTGCCAGGTTACATATATAGGTCATAAGGGGGGTAAAAGTACTTTTACAAGCCTTAATGATCGATGTAGGAATACCATCACATCCTGTAGCGCTATCAGAACGAAGTCTATTAATAATTCTGTCAACTTCATCATATTGTACTTCGTGCAAAACAAAAGAAAAAGGAAAGAAAGAGTTCTGATCTTCTGAAAGGAGATAAGAAGGACTACTATTAATAATTTCATCAGCTAAGTTTTTGCCAATATTAACAAAAAATTTGTTGATATAGTCCACTGATGCAGATACATCAGAAGATATTTTTAAAAGATCACTTGAAGAATTTACATTTTTTTTAATATTACATATATTTTTTACAGTTTCCCAAGTTCTTTTTGAATCGTTTTTATTTTTAAGTAGCTCGTTTTTTTCATAGGTCCGTTTTAGATTTCTCAAAAGTTTATTACAGAAGTTTCTATATCTTTTATATGTAAGTTTAAGAGTCAAATCATTTGGATACTTCTTGCATTTTGCATGTATTCGATCGCGATTTCTGATACATTTCAGTAGTCCTGGCGTAATCCATGGTTTTTTTATTTCTAATCCTTCTAGGGATTGTGTGTAAAATAGAATGAGTCTTAATTATTGACGAAACTCTTTCTATAAGAATTTGAGTGGCTTCATTGACCGTTTTAGATGTTAAAATATCATTAAAATCAGATTTTTTTATATCAGCTATAATTAAAGTTTTGTTAAGATTTATTCTATTAGTATTGTTGTTTAATGACTTAGGTTTATATTTCAAATTTAATACTATGGGGTTATGATCAGTTATGTAAGAGTCTACTATCATGGTGGTGGTGATTTGACTCGTTCTGAGTAATACATGGTCAAGACAGGTGTTTGAATGTGTGGGCAGATTGTGGGATGGAAATAAGCCGAGATTGGCACACAAGTTCAAATATTCATTACAGTTATTACAAGATTTAAGTGTATCTATATTAATATCACCAATAACTGCAATATTTTTACATACCGACAGGCCGGAGATAACCATCTGAAAACTTTGTAAAAAAGTATTAATGTTCAAAAAACAATAGGGTCGGTATATTGCGACAATAGATAGTTCATTACCTAAAGTACACACTAGGCAGTTTGCTTCCTTAAAGGGGGGTTCGTGAATAGTGTAAACAATTTCCGATCTAACATAGACAACAACTCCGTCATTTTGATTATATGTATTTTTCGTTTGATGTGATTCATAACCGACTAGGAAAGGAACACGAGTTGTTTTGCTAAGCCAACACTCCGATAAGACTATAACGTCACATTGTATTATAAGCTGCTCGAGTAATAACTGTAGACCGTCTATGTTACAATTTATACTCCGAATATTTAGATGTAATATTGTAAATGAACTTGCGCTATTATCTATGTAATTTATGCATTCCTCAGGGTTACAATTTAAAGATTTTGAGACCGTGAAACCATCTAGGTCAGAGAATATATCATTTATAGGATTCATTTCTTAAAAACAAAGTTTAGTACACTAAGATAGATATTGTTTGATACTATAAAAGATTTACAGGGTTAATATAAATATAATTTAATATTACGAACTAAAGAAGTATTAATTATGAATAGTGTTTAAATGTATAATTAACTGTTGCTTTAAAAAAATTTATAAGTGTTTTGTGTTTGTTAAATGTAACAGTATAGGTTTTTTTAGCTTAGAGTAATAGAGTAAAATTGTTTGGTTTTAACAAAAAAAAAAACAGTTGAATATTAATATTAAATATTAAACAAAAAAAGAAAATAATCTACATTTCAATTTATCAAATCATTTAAACACTTCTCTGTCTTTATAAGTATTTGTTTTGAAGAATCGTCTTTGCGGAGAAATATGCGCGCATTCGTAGACCAACAGTATTTATAATGGTTGTCCTTTGCAAACTGACGTGCCTGGGCGAAAATTTTCCTAGTGGTAAGATTGAGGTGTTCAGATACAAAAATTGGTTGTTTTTTACCTTCAATTCCAATGTGCGTTGAATTTAGTTTTTCATCAATTGAGCGTTTTGAGTTGAAGGATCTAGCAGCTTGTAATACATCATTTTTAAGAAGAACAGACGTAAATTCAGCTACAATAATACCACTGGAACCAGATTTATTTGTCAGTCGATAAATATCACGGACGTCGGAAGGATTAATTTCTAAATTAAGGGCAGTGCCGATACGAGTGACAATAGAAATTAGATCACTGGTGGATTCTTTTCCTTTTTTTGCAGGAATATTACGAAACTCTACGGTAGCTTTTAAGGAGGAACGTTGCAGAGATTCTATATTTTGTTCTAACTGCTGTATGAAAGCCCGATTTTCAGAGCATTTAATTTCCAAAGAACTAATTTTGCTCATAATTCCATCAAATTGATGTGATAAATGTTCAACAGATTTCTCAATCTCTGAATTGGAGTTTTTCACTTCCTGTATTTTGCTTTTTATATCTTTTATATCTCTTTGAAGACGAACACGTTCCTCTTCATTTGAAGACATCCATGAAGAAATCATTTGTTTAATGTCTGCTTTAAAGTCTTTTAATTCTTCCAGAAAGTCATCGGAGCGATGGCGCTTATTATATCGCATTTGTACGTAGTTAGGGGGTGTTTTTTTTTCTGTTTCAGAATCGGAGAATGATTGTTGCATATTTAATGACCTATATAATAGTCCAATGTGTAATGTAAATTATAATTGAAGGTAACTATTAGCGCACACTAATAAAGGCCCTAACAGCATCGACCAGTACATAATAGTCCGCGTGAAGGAGGTCGCAGGCGCCGTGAATATGAGGGCGCTTACGCGTTATATCGAGACACTTTACATTTATTACTATTTGACGGTACATTAAACATTGAAACGGATCGGATATTTATTGATTATTATTAATTGCGAATATCACTGACTAATTATTTAAAGTTAATTGTTTGATACACACAAAAACTGAAGTAACAGAACAAAAATATACATTTAAAAGACACTTTCAACCACTTTTTGTTTATTATTTGTTAAGAGCAAACTCAAAGAGGTGTGCGTACTTATAACATTTATTGCTATTGACGGTAAGAGAACATTGAACGGATCGGATTTTTATTGATTATTATTAATTGCGAATATCACTGACTAATTTTTTAAAGTTAATTGTTTGATACACACAAAAACTGAAGTAGCAGAACAAAAACATACTTTCAAAAGTCACTCTCAACCACTTTTTGTTTATTATTTGTGAAGAGCAAACTCAACGAGGTGTGCGTACTTATAAGGCGCGACGACAACTATAAATTTCTTATTTGAAGAAAAAATTGAGTGAATGTGTAAAGAGTGCAACAATTTTACAAAAATCTGCTTCAAATCTTCTAAAGAAATCTATTCCAAAACCTTTTAAGCCAAGGCAAAATTCTACTACAAAAAACTACTATCCCCCTCAACATCAAAGGACCCAGAGGAAGATGTTCAGGGGAAATCAAAATTTTCAACGGCCGGTAACCAAGGTCCAAGCACCGGCAGTGACTCGCAGCCAGCCTCACAAACAAAAGAATTACAGACAACAACGTGCCAACTACCCATAGAGGTAACACATTTTGCTGGTCGTATTAAACATTTTTATAACTGTTGGAATAAGATTACAAATCATAACACTATTTTATCATGGATACAGGGCTATAAAATCCCTTTTATTGATAATCCAACTCAAAATTGCTTATCACTGAATGATAAATTGTCAGGTTTAGAAGATAGGATTATATCTAGAGAAATTAAAAAGTTTAAGACTTAAAAAAATTGTGAAATATTATTGAGAGTTGATAATACAACTGCAATTTCATATATTAATCGTATGGGGGGAGTTCAATATCCTAAGCTTAACAACTTATCTCGATTATTGTGGAAATTTTGTGAGAAGAGAATGATATGGGTTTTTGCCTCCTACATTAAATCAAAAGACAATAAAGAAGCAGATTTTGAGTCTCGAAATAGGAATATAGATGCTGAATGGGAACTATCAGATAATAGTTTTAACAGGGTAGTTACAATGTTTGGCCAGCCAGACATTGACCTTTTTGCATCTGGGATTAATACAAAATGCATTAAATATGTGTCATGGCAAAGAGATCCAGAAGCCTGGAATATAGATGCATTTACATTAAGATGGTCTGATTTCTACTTTTATGCATTTCCACCATTTTCAGTTCTTTTAAAAACAATTCAAAAAATTAAGAATGAAAAGGCAAGGGGCATCATTATTTTCCCTGTTTGGACTGCTCAGCCCTGGTATCCTATGATGAAATCAATGATAGACTCGGAAGTAATTTACTTTCCACCTTCATTAGAACTTTTATCTTCTCCTTTTAGGACACCTCACCCACTACATGCACAACTTACCCTGGGGCATGCATATTATCAGGACAGCGTTCCAACTAAATAAAACCCCGGAGTCAGCATGTGATTTGATGTTAGCACTATGTCCTCAAATACATTAAAACAGTATAATACATGTTTAAAACAGTGGTGGTATTACTGTATGCAAAACAATCATGATATCTATAGGGCATCAGTGCCATATATAATAACATACTTCACAGAGTTAAATAATAAAGGGGGTAGTTATCAGACCCTTAATTGCCATAGATCAACTCTTTCCTTAATAATAGGATCACATCTGGGAACAGATGAAACAATAAAAAGGTGGTTTGAAGGAGTATATAGGCTTAGACCACAAACTACAAAATATAGTGTGACATGGGACCCTTCAATAGTCCTAAATTTTTTGCAAAAATTGTATCCACTTGAATCACTTGCCTTAGATAAACTTACCAAATAATGTGCTATGTTGATTGCACTCAGCACTGGGCAAAGGATACAAACACTATCTTTAATTAAATTGAGTGATGTAAATGTGACTGAGACACATGTTACAATACTGGTTTTGAGACTTACTTAAAACATCGGCTCCTGGAAGACTAATGTTAATCCTACCATATTTTAAAGAAAAGCCTGAGATTTGCCCAGCAAAAACTTTGTTCAGATCGGGATGGAAGTACACAAAATATTTTTATAACATTTAGAAAACCGTATAGAGCAGCCACATGTCAAAGCATAAGTAGGTGGCTTAAACAAGTAATGAGCGAAAGTGGTATTGATACAAGCATATTTACTCCACATTCAACTAGACATGCCTCAACGTCTAGTGCTCTAAGACAGGGACTTACAATAGATAACATATTAAAGACAGTTGGATGGTCAGCAAACTCTCAAACATTTGCAAGGCATTATAATAGACCTCTGTTAAATGATAATCACCTGTGTGCAAAAACAATATGTAGAACAAACTCTACTTTATTAAAATTTAGTTTAAAAAAATATTTGTAATTTACATATAATTACTACTTAGTTGTGATAGAAACCTATTTTAATTTTTTGTTCAGTGAAGTAACATTTTAATTAAAGTTGATTTTCAAGTTTAGTATTCTTTGAATCTTTCTTTCTTATAATTTTAAGTTCCAATTTAATGTGCAAATGCAATGAGAATCTATATGTTTACTCATTAACTCTAAACATCTACCAAGTTATCTCGGACTAAGCTTGAATATAATTACATAATTAAACGAACTTACCTTAAGTGAAGTTCAATTTTAATTATATGAAGAGCTTAGTCCGAGATATAAATTTCCCACCCACCTCACTTAATAAGTTTGTAACTTATTAACCCAAGTAAACAGTAGATTCTAATATTTACTCTAAAAGGAATGACATTCGAGAGCGTTAGGTTGCGTTCGTGTTGCAACTTTTTTGTTTTAGATCTACTCTAAAAAGGACGCGTTCATCGAGCAAGGTGTAGACGATACTACCAAGTTATCTCGGACTAAGCTCTTCATATAATTAAAATTGAACTTCACTTAAGGAAAGTTCGTTTAATTATGTAAATATATATATATATATGACAGAGTGGACAGGAATGTGTTATGGCAAACACTCAACTCATATGGGTTGAGCGCTGGTTTGATACAGGCATTAAGGTCTCTTTATAGGGACTCTAGTGCTTTTGTCAGGATCAATGTGGTCTACTCGGACTGGTTGGAGCACCCAAAAAGGTGTCAGAAAGGGCTGTGTAGCTTCCCCTTGGCTGTTCAACCTATTTATGGACAGGTGTTTGCAAACTTTGAAAGATGAAGAATGTGGGTTAAGAATGGGCGAGTTAACCGTCAAATGCCTTTTTGTATGCCGACGATCAAGTCATATTTGCGTCACCGGCGGCTGAGTTGCAAATGATGGTTACATTAATGAACTGGGAAATAAAAGAAAGGGGAATGAAAGTGAACGCAAGTAAGACGAAAGTGATGGTTTTTGAAAGAGAAGACAGCAAAATGGTATGTTAAATAAGAATAGAAGGAGAGTTAATTGAGCAAATGGATGAGTTTGTGTATTTGGGATTGTGTAGATATGATAGGGATATAGAACGACGAGTAAATGCAGGGAATAGAGTGAATGGGGCACTACACTCTATTATGAAGAATCAGAATGTGTCAAAAAAGGCATGTATGGTAATTCATAATGCTGTTTTAGTCCCTACTTTAATGTATGCTAGTGAAAACTGGGTGTGGCAGAAGAAGCACGAAAGTAGAATAAATGCTGTAGAAATATGGTCTTTAAGGAATATGCTAGGGTTGAATCTGAATGACAGGGTAAGAAATTGCGTGATAAGAGATAAATGTGGTATGCAAGATGATGTTGTGACCAGGATTAAGAAAGGAATGCTTCGGTCGTTTGGTCATGTAGAAAGAATGAATGAGGAAAGAGTGACAAAGCAAATTTATATGGCAGATGTGAACGGCTGAGTCGGGAAGGGACGCCCTAGGAAAAAGTTTATCGACCAAATTGGCGATATTTTGAAAATGGGCCACGTTAGAAGTACCCTTAACCGACGAACACGTATGCGTAGATATACGGATGTAAAGGAGGCGAAAGAGGTATGTCAGGATCGTGCCAAATGGAAATCCGTAGTCTCAGCCTAACCCTCCGGGTGACAGGCGTGAGTGTTTATGTTTATGTTATATATATATTTCTGTTATGCATAATCTGATGGCTTATTTAATAACGTTTCCATGCGATGCGCCATATTGGCCAAAATCCCTCCGACATTCGAGTAAATTTAATCAAAAATTCGAGAACCTCAGAGCGAACTTTTACATCCGCTGAGACAGGTTTTGTTACAAGCTCATATCGAATAATTGTACATACTAAGGCTTAAGTTTTGCAATTCACTTATAGCGTAGGAGCTTATGTGACAGAGTAAGGTAGCATATTTCCGGCTTCATTATGCAGTCGCTGAATCAGTTCATGTTATAAATTTTATTTTGGTATCCTCCCGCCCTCTCTTAATAGCGTGCACTACCCCGTCACCACTTATCCCAACACCACAACACTAGAAAAGACACACCACCATCGATAACACAACACGTGTCTCGCCTCTTCTAAGCTTAGTTAGCTTAGCGTTCGGTCATTGCAGAGCTTACTTCACCTAGGGATGCCTCGTTTAGAGACGAAACACGTTGCCTTGTTATCGATTGTGGCTTATCTTTCCTAGTGTAGCGGTGACGATAACAGTACACCAAAAAAAATACGTGTGGCACTAGGTGACTGCCGCGGTAAAG